ATATTTATGAGCATGTGGGGGATTAGCGACATATGTTGGAGTTTAGCGTGTGTTAATACAAGATTATAAAAGGACAAAAGTTTTAAAATAAAAAATCTCTTCCCAGGGTTTGGGAGACCAGAATGTGGACTTGTGAGCGCTGGCCATGTATAAAAGGGCGCTGCCAGGTGAAACATTGTCATCATGTTTGATGTTTAAATAGGTGACACATTTCTTTAATACAACATGTTTTATAGGCATTATTGTCTGTTTTGGTTAGTCTGGTTGTTGGAGTCCAGATGGGAGTCGACTTCTCTTCACTGTGCAGGGCGAGACGGTCATCTACGCTCTGACCTTCACTAACACACCAGGTTAACTTTTGGAGTCTTTACAAAAAATATATGTATCGTTTTTTCTTTGAAAAACTGATGGCATTAATGAGATACTTCTTACAACTTTTGAAACTTGACAGCTTACTTTATGGAGTTTTTAAAATATCTGTTCTTATTATTCAGCAGCCGTGCCTTCAGGCACATCAAAAGGGCCGCATGCAGCAGTTGTGGTGGCTGACCTGTCAGAGACAACTTTTAACACACCAGATGGAGACATCGTGTAAGAACTCTGAAAAAAAAGTGGCTAATTGGCCATCTTTCAGTCTAACTACATGAAAACGAGTACATTGATCTTCCTGAAAGACCCAAAAAGAACAGTGAAAATTAGCACGCAGGAAGAATCCAGCAGGAAAATGACTGAGCTCAAAACCTTAGTGTAGCTTTATACTTTATTTTAAATGTAAAAAATAATGCTCATTTACTGCCTTTTTACTTAAGTTCTCACCATAAATGTATCTGTGTGGTCAGGTACAATCTTTGGTACTTCTTCTGCTACCACAGTTCAATTCTGCAGTATATTAAATTCATAGTGTTAGTTATTAATTACTTTTTGCATGCAAAACAAGTGATCAGCTTATAAAACATGATCCATTTTTTACAGATTACATTCCTCAGCAGTATTCCAAGGAGTAAAAATACACTACGTACTTTGTTACAGTATATGCATCCATAGAAATGATTAGGTGCAGCAATGACAAATGGCACTCTCCATAATATATATATTTTTAATAGTTTAAGTACACTTTGTTCCCTCTGTAATTCCCTTTTTACTTAAATACAGCCTCTACATATTTCTCCTGGGAAGTGACCCAAGCAGTTTAATGTTGGTCACCTCATGTCTAATTTGTTTGCCAGTGTTGGTGGAGAGATCCAGTCCTTAGCCTGGGATCCGAGGGGAGAGAGGCTTGCAGTGCTTCTTAAAGGTATCACCTCGTTTCTCTTCACCCTCATGGACTTTGTCAGCATTTAAGTTTAAGTAACTCATCTCAGCCATATTTTTTCCTCTCAGGTGATCCACGGGCAGCAGACCGG